GTTTTTTTCTGATTTACAATAAAGGTAGAAAATTTTATCAAGAAACAAAATCAATTAGAACACACTTTTGTACAAAATATTTGTTTTTGATTCATTTGCGTGCTAGGAGTGAAAGCATATAATCAATGGATATTTTTCTGAGTAATAGAACCAGGTGTTAGAAAAATATGTCGACGTATGGTTTTTTTTCTCATTATTTTGACTTTTTCTTGTAGTTGAGAAAGAAAAATATGAAAATATTTTATTTCGAATGATCGAAATCGTTTATAATAATCATTATCAATAACATTACAATTTTTATATAAAATGATTTAATTAATCCAACAAATAAATATTTATGTAAACGTTTTAGAACTTCTAAAAAACACAATAAATTCAACTTCCGTTCATTTATTATTGTTGTTGAGAATATCAAAAAAGTTCATGAAAGAATTCATTTTTAAACATATATCAAGTCATTAAATTATCAGCAATATAAATAACTTTGTCTATTGCACAGATAAATACATTTTATCTACGTAAACATTTTATACTTAAATAAATATTTCTTTTATCTCAAAGGTCAAGGACTAAAAAATACATTAATTTTGCTTACATGATGTTGATATACGCCAAAGGTAATTTTTACCCGGTTTTAGACTTGTTACAATTATATGAAATTGACATTTTTCTAATGGATATTTAATATTTGCTGTCTATGGCTATCCGTAGATTCTTAGACATGAAACAATATTAATTTTAACAGATAAACATGCATATTGAGTACCATATCATTCAGCATACAGTACACTATCACAGCATTTATTACCACTTGTCTGTTCAGATTTTAAATGTTTCTATAGAAAATGGCATGATCATCTACTGAAATTAAAAGTTGATAAAATTGCTTGCGACCTTGTTCTGATGAAACGCATTGTTTTATTTGTTTGAGATAAGATATAGGTTATCACGTGCTTCTGCTGTATCTATATGATATAATCGATCATACATAGCAGAAAGCTTTCGCATAAGCAACTTGAAATGCAACTTTCTTCCTTAGAAACAGTTTTCTTTTGCTGGAAAATAATTGTATATTATTCAGGAAATCATATTAGAGAAATAAAAGCTTTATTCAAAAAAACAAAACTTTTTGATGAAATATGTGTGAAGGAGGATCCTTGCTCGTATTTTTTGAGGAATTTTTATCCAAAAAAATACTTCGAGCTTCATATCATTCGACGCAATTTAATGTGCTGATTCCAAATATCACTTTAGGTTTTCTTGAAAATGTTATATGGATGCCTGAAACAGGGTTTCCGACCAAAAATTTGAGGTTTTAGGAAAATCTTTAAAACAGTGTAGGATAGATTTCATGAATTGACGCTACTATCATCATTAGGATACATATGTAGGAGTATCTGGTAAAAATTTGAGCTTGAGCAGGCATTATTTATATGTAGCGTTTACAAAATATGAAACGGCAAATTTTCAGGTAGATTTTCGCTCTAGGAAGTCTCTGCCTTTTCTTCTATTTTAAATTCAAGTAGGATTATGTTTTTTAAAAGATGAAACTCACAGGTGAACAACATTTCTGTGATATTGTATTATATTGCTGAACGGCTTGACTTTGTTTATTTATGCCAATTTCTGGGTCATCTTATTAAATCGAATATTAACTTCTTTAATACAACATATAGTTTTCATTTTATGTATTTTGCATCTTCTCCGCAAATTTTGATAAATTTCGAAAAGCAGTTAAACATGGTTTTTAGATTTCAACAGTTTGGGAACTATTTATCAGATCATTTCTTCGATAACTTTTACTCATTTGAATATTGACAATTTGTTTTTTATTTTTGTATAGATAAAAAGAACATTTGTTCTTCTATTGAGGAATACATTTTTCATTTGACTCGTTACTTTGGCTAGAAATCTGATGATTTTCTGACAAGTTCATACATGAACTTTTTTCAGAGAATATTCTTTATTTCTTCGCGAAGAAATTTCAGTTATGTGAGCATTAAACTGTTTTCTTAAAAGCAAAAATCACTAGATAGACCGTGGATGTCTTTATCAATTTCAATAATTTTAGTCTAATTTATATCAGGTCTTATAGATAAATTTTTGCTTGAATCTCTGTAGACTTGCTTTTTTTTTCGTAAGAGGTTAATGGTCTTCATTTCAATAGTATAGTACAATCAACTGCCCAAATTGAAATAAACTTCATTTAATATATCGTACACTGTAAATTCAGATACATCTCCTCCATGTAGCATAGTCTTCATTGTAAAATAACTTTATGTTAGTAAAATATGACGTTGAAAAGATTTGATTTTTGCCATTGACGAAATTTATCAAGCGTAGAATACAGATGCAAGATAAAATAAAATGAAAACAATATGATTCGATAAAGTAATAAATACTGTACCCAAACGTATATTAAAATAAGAAACTTTGCAAGTTTTTTTGAAATACAATAAACTAAAAAAAACTTAGCAGAAATAATGTAATCAATCTATGTATAAGCTATAAATTTAGAACATATTTTAGCATGAAAAAAAAATTTGCAATATGAACTGTTTCTTAGTATGTTTTTCGTGTGTATATTTAACTTGCGGAAAAATAAACAAGAAAATAATAAAAGAAGAAAAAAAAAAAGGATTAATTTGTCGTCCAAATTTCATCAACATGTAATTCTAACATTTCAAGTCCAGGAAAACTTTGAACTTGTTTAATATAATACAAAAGGTCACTTGTTAAAAGTCCATGCTGAGGTCCACCATCATTAGCAATTCTTAATTGACGTAAACGTTTTGCTAATAATTGTTTAAATATTGAATTAAGACGAGTAAAAAGTAGAATAAGATCACTTGGTGAAACAATACGTGCAACAGCATTATAAAAAGAAGTTATATGTCGTGTAACGAGTGTACGAAAACAATCACTTGGCATTGGTGCACGAACTTCATATGATGAAAGTGTATCACCAAATGTACTTTCAATTATTGAAATTAATTTTCCATGAATTTCATCAGTATGTTCTGAATAAAGTTTTATTAATTGTTCAAATTGTTTAGCAGATGAAATTGATGAAATTGTTGATGGTGATTCAGATAAAGTCTTTAAAAAAAAAATAATTTATTTCAAAATAAATTTTATTAATTCAAAATATTTTACAAAACAAAAATAATTAATAATCTAGAATTCATTTAAACTAATCTTTGACAAAAAAAAATAAATTAATAAAAATCTATCTTCAATAGTTCATGGAGAATATTTAACTTTTTTTTAAATAATAGATGAAGAAAACTTTTAAATCATGAATACACGATAAAACGAAGGATTTCAATAATAATGATCTAATTTAACAAATGAAAACAACTATCACTATCCGATTAAAAATCAATTGGTATCTGTTATAGGAATTCATTTCGAATTGATTAATAATAGATTTTCTACTCGTTCTATATTTTAAGAATAGATAAACATTCATTTAAAATCCGAACTATTCTATAGAAATAAAAACCTTGCATGTTTGTCTATACATTTTATAATGAAACTAATCGAAGACTAATGATTAGACAGAAACGAAGCTAATCTTTTTTTATTGACTGATTTAACAGTCACTTTGATAACATAGAACTTATTATTATTCATTCCTAATATGTATGTATTTGAAACGCTTTGCTGTTAGTCTCTTTATTTATAGGTAATTGATCTGATAATCTGCAAAGTGAATATTCTATAATATTAGTTAGTATTTTCTATTTATTCGAAGTAGATCACGATGAAATCTGATTCAAAATTAAGTGCCTGATCATAAACGTTTAAGTTTACAACGAAATCGTTTCGAGAAAAGATGAATTTATAATTCTTTTTTGTAGAAAGAAAATCTTCTGATTTGATTAGTAAAATGAAATGATTTACAAATGAGAATATAATTGTGTTTATTTTCTAGTTAATTCGAATTTCAAAGAATTAAAATAATACCTGTAATTGATCAAAATGTGCTCTTATTTTTGGTAATATTATTTTAATAAATTGTAAACATCGACATGTAATAGCAAGAATTTTTGCTGAAATAGTTTTAATTTTTCCTAATTTAACAGCTCCAGCACCTAATACTAATTGACATGTTTTAGAATTAAATAGTTTAAGTAATTCAATAAGGCGATGGTCAATATCATTTACAGATGATGAAACTAATAGTTGAGCACATGAACAATAATCAAGCACCAACATAAATAAATGAAGAGCACTATTTGACAAAACAAAATTTTCATTATCAATAATTAATGTTTCTGAACTATTTGGATTTATTGAAGATGATAAATTAAAAAGTTCATCAACTGAATTTTGAATTGAACGAGGAACAGGAACCTAAGAATTTTATTTATATTTAATTTATTTGATGAAAAAGAAAAAAAAATACTATTTACTTGTTTCCATTGTTCATTATCTAATGTCTGTGCAACACGTTGTTTTCTTTCATCATGAAAATGTGTTAAAAATTTACTTGTTTGTGTTTGTAAAAATGTTTTTAATGGTCGAGAATTATATTTTTTATCATAACCATTTATATTTGATATAAAATTTTCAATTAATTTAACCATTTGTGCATATTCATCAAGTGATAAACGTTCAAAATGAACTTGATAACGTGTACATTCTTGATTTAATACAACTGTTAGACGATCTTCTATTATATCATATATATTATGTAATAATAATGTTATTGATGGAATATTATTTAATTGATGTTTTAAAAGTGCATCATTTATATATTGAGAAATATTTCTAAGACGATTAAGACCTTGTTCAGTTGATGTTAATATTGTATTTGCTGATCGAATCCATGAAGAAAATGAACCTGAATTTGAATTTATTGATGATGGATATGTATATCGAGTTGTTGTAGA